AGGGGTGGTTAACGCAGATAGTCCTCGTGTAGCTTTGCGCGAAATTAAAAAAACAAACAAACCCTAATACATTTTTGGTTAAAATATTTAGGTTCTGAGATGAATTTTGTTTCTATGAATTTGATTCTGTGATCATTTTGGTATACATATGGAGATGATAGATATGACATACCGCTGTGCCACTGGGGGGCGACCAAATAGCAGGATTTAGTTTTAACGTTGATTGCACACCCATGCCCGTAAAGTGCGGAGTACGTTTTTCTGGCAAAGGAACGCGCACTATAAACCATCGGATTCACAGACTGCGCACGCTGAGCGTTTGGCCACGATCGACCCAAATATTCAATACGAATGTGGTATATCCCAACTTACGTTTACATTGGCACCGTGAATTTTGATTTTCCTTTAAAAATGATATAAGAAAATACTGAACATTTATTTAGTGGTTGTGTCTTTCATTTTATCTTGTATATCTCGACTTCTAAATGTTTGTAATGAATGTGCACATATTTATAAAAGTATATGCAACGAACTCGATAGGATGCCATGGAGTGAAGAAAATAATCGTAAACGCTGTATTTTGATTATCAACAAAATTATGACACTCGGGCGGAAAAGTAGATACAATACTTAGCTCGCATATACTTAAGTGAAACTCTAGTAGATATGGTTTTGTTGCTCACTTATATATTAAATATACATTGTCCGAAAGCTACAGAATTTCCATAAACGAGTTAGAGCTACGGTCAATATTGCATAACTAGCAGAGACCCACAAAACATATATGGCCATATTAGTATCTTTATTGTATCAGTACTTCTTTAAATACAGGATTTATAGAGTAATACAAAATAATTCTAATCAAGACACTGAAATCTATAAGTCCACTTGTCGTAGTCCTAACATTAGTTAAGCCTTTATTAAGTGAAGATAAAGATATTCGATAAAGAGATAAATTAACACTGTAACTTGTGTATGTTTTTGCTTTAGTTCAGTTAGGGCTAAACCTTACCGCACTTAATACTATCATTAAATAATCTTCTAATATTATTGTATGACCTAACGTTAGACCTTTTTAAAAATTTTGATAAGCTTTTAATATGTAGTATAACATGTCTACTAAAGTATATTTACGTCCTTTCGGGCGCACAGCGACGATTTAACAAAGATATGTTTTCAAATTGCGAAAAAGGTGCAATTTATTTGTACATTTTAGTCCAAATATATCTTTACTTTTCGATCTAACGTATACTCCTCGCTTCTAATTGACAGGAAGCCAAACAACTTAAATTTCGTAATAACGTGACCCAGAAACAGACAGACAGATACACACTGTGTTTTATAGTATTACGTGTTATATAATGTACACAGGCCAGACATTAACGATAGGCATTATTAACATTCGCCTTGGGCGCCAGTTTCTCGGGAGCATCGGTGTGAGTAGGAACATACGAACATTTCCTCAGGGCACTGTGAAGTTCAGCTTCTGTCAGTCCTAACTGAACACAGAGAAATGTATTTGTAATTAAATTTCAACAGATGATCTATCTTCCCCAGGTTATCCTCTGTATAAAATAGGCCCGTCATGGCCAGGTGGTTAGGGCACTCGATTCGCAATCTGTGGGTCGCGGGTTCGAATCCCCGTCACATCAAACATGCTCGCCCTTTCAGCCGTGGGGGCGTTATAATGTGACGGTCAATCCCGCTATTCGTTGGTAAAAGAGTAGCCCAAGAGTTGGCGGTGGGTGGTGATGACTAGCTGCCTTCCCTCTAGTCTGCTAAATTAGGGACGGCTAACGCAGATAGCCCTCGTGTAGCTTTGCGCGAAATTCAAAACAAAAAACAAACAAACTGCATAAAATATTGAAATTCATTTGTCCTGTAACAGAGTACTCTGTAATTAGTGCTTATCTATCAAATCAAGTTGAACTCGAAAGTCGTACTCGTGTTAATACTCATGTTTCATCATTATGAGTATGCTTATTATGAAAGATGCGCTTATTAATAAGCACAAAATCGGTTTGTTTTGAGTATGAGGTAGCTATTAAGGCGCTCACTCGGTGAATGGTTAATACCAGCTTGTTAAGTCGTTCTAATTTCATGAATGAATTTTTATTCATTAAAACCCGCACCTTTGTTCCGTTGCTATGCAACCAGTGTCATAGACCTGTGCTAGACATGAAATTGCATAACCTATAAAACATAGATAATGACAAAACTTAATAGATAAGTAGTGTGTATGACTATAATAGAAGAACGACGTGTATACTTTTGCAGATTAAATTTTCCTAAAATATATTACGGGACTGTACATGTCTTATTGATAACGAACATATCTTGATTATTTGCACATGTAAGTTAATAATTATATACCAGAGCAAAATATCTGAACGAATGAACGGTTTGTACGCTGCTGTTTAATGCACATGTTTGTATACATAGGGATTTTGTACATCAAACAAAGAACTTAGTATCCACGAGTAAGCAGTGTATATGTTGGTTTTTGATATACGTATGTCTATAATTATATATTTTATATTTCACTACACAGAGTTTGGTGTTTACAAGTTAAGAACTGTGTCTGTTCTGGTGTATATACACACATATGGAATAATACGTTATTTCGGTGTTTACATATTAAGAACTGTGTCTGCTCTGGTGTACATACACACACGTATGAAATAATACGTTCTTTCGGTGCTTACAAGTTAAGAACTGTGTCTGCTCTGGTGTATCTACACACATATGGAATAATACGTTATTTCGGTGTTTACATATTAAGAACTGTGTCTGCTCTGGTGTATATACACACTTATGGAATAATACGTTCTTTCGGTGTTTACATATTAAGAACTGTGTCTGTTCTGGTGTACATACACACGTATGAAATAATACGTTCTTTGGTGTTTACATATTAAGAACTGTGTCTGTTCTGGTGTACATACACACGTATGAAATAATACGTTCTTTCGGTGTTTACATATTAAGAACTGTGTCTGTTCTGGTGTACATACACACGTATGAAATAATACGTTCTTTCGGTGTTTACATATTAAGAACTGTGTCTGTTCTGGTGTACTCACACACATATGAAATAATACGTTATTTCAGTGTTTACATATTAAGAACTGTGTCTGTTCTGGTGTATATACACACACATATGAAATAATACGTGCTTTCGGTGTTTACATATTAAGAACTATGTCTGATCTGGTGTACATACACACATATGAAATAATACGTTATTTCGGTGTTTACATATTAAGAACTATGTCTGATCTGGTGTACATACACATGTATTCAATAATACACTTTCTAAGATACTACATAACACACAAACTAATCGTTACACGTATCGCTTGATGCGTCTAAACAATACGAATACCTCGCGTTTACTTTCTGAATATTATCTGTATGACCATGTTACATAAGGGAGTATCGTTAAACAATGTTGGTTAAACACATAGATTATCATTAATCGAATATCCGCGCCTAGAGAAGCGAGAATATACTATATACATATTTGTACATCTGTGTTTCATTAGGTACGGATATCGATGTAAGCCTTGCAGTTTAGATCTCTCAGGCTATGTTGGTTAAACAAATGTTCTCAATTTGTCATTGAAAATTGAAGTTGCCAGAACCTATGAAGTAAATTGCAATTATTCTGGCTCGATGCAAGCACTTTGATCTACGCCTTAGTGAATAACTGTAAGAAAACAAATTCAGCTTTTAAATAGAGACAGCACGCCCTTAGATGTCAAGAACCCATAGTTTATATAACGGTGCCGCTAGGGTGCACGTTTCAGAACTTATTTTGTAAGAAACTGTTAGTTTAAGTTCTGGGCTAATTGCCAGCTTGGTCGGTGCATCACTTAGTAACTCTCATGTGCCCACTATGCCTTTCTAGTTCAAGCGTTTGAGTGTGTTCAGTTTTGTAAAGTTGGCAGATAGCGATGTTAGATAATGGTAGTTTCTCATGTTGACCGACCACGGAACGCCAGAATATGTCTATTCAGCAAAGTATGAATCATTACTAGTTGGCTTGCAAGTTATTTGACCTTTTTTTCTCACATGCAAAACAGGAGAAGATATTTTCAACTTCTTGGCAATAAGCCAAAAACCAATATTAAGTGAATTATTTCACAGTAACAGAGATTTTTTTGAATTCCAAAAATAAATAAAAGGAGGAAATCAGAAGTTTCACTATGATAAAACCAGGCTCTTTCAAAATTATCCATTAGTGTGCATTTGATATATATATACTTTTGTGAGCGTGTATTTTTTAATTTTCAGACGTCTACGTTAACTGCAAATAACTAGCAAATCAATACAAAGACAATATATATATTGTTTTAGATACTTTTGAACCGAGTGTAACTGAACCTGATTTTTGTACTATCTACGCTGTAAATTAAACAACCAACATGGTAGTATCTAAGCTGTAATATAAACCACCAACTTAGCAGTACGTAAATTGCGAGTTTCATGAGCACAGTTACACTTTATTTTTCTGTGTTTGTTTGTGTATTTAAGCGTCAAGTTACACAGTGAGCTACCTCCGCTATGACTACTGCAGGTATCGAACCCCAATTTTTACGTTTCTGGAATTAAGCAAATGTTTATATGTGATGTATAGAGACTGAACAATCAAGTTGTAGACTTCATAAGATAGAAACAATATAACGGAGAAAAACTTCATATAATGACAAATTTGAACCAAGACTCAAAGTTTGTTCTCTATCAAAATAAAGAACAGAAATATCAGAAGACGGGTCTGGACAGTTTGTTTGTTGTTTTAGAAAACGTATTTAGACTGTCTGCCCCAAAAGTTGTTTCTTTCCTACTCATCGTGACCGATCTGTTTTTGCTGACGAAAGGGGACAACGGCTCTTGCCTCCGAGGTCGCTGCTCGGTCGCGATTGTTTAGCATCATCCTCATGACGACGGTAAACCTTAAGTAGGGCAGAGGAACTCGGTTGTTGTTTCAATTCAACATAAAATTACAGACAAGTCCTAAAGAAGCCATCATTTTCGCTGCGTCAAGAAAATCGAACGCTGGGTTTCCTTAAGCAAGAGCCTGTAGTCTTTAAATTTGTAACATTTACCAGATTCGTCACTAGAGGTAAGAAATGTAATAATCTTTTATAAGATGAGATATACTTTGAATTTAATAATGATATTATAAACATGGGTCTTGCTGCCGTAATGTTATTTATATTCGTATATTTACCAATATTCGTTTAAGGTAGATTCACTAGAGGTAAGAAATGTAATAATCTCTTATAAGATGAGACATACTTTGAATTTAATAATGATATTATAAACATGGGTCTTGCTGCCGTAATGTTATTTATATTCGTATATTTACCAATATTCATTATAAGTAAATTTCTTCAACAAACACTTATATATAATTCGATCGTGAGTGGTTATAACAGAAAGTAATCTATGTATAAAGATAGGCAAATAGCATCTCGTTTATCTAATTTTCATACTGGAAGTAACAAACAAGAGACAAAACGTTTATTCTTCAATTCTGGGGTCCATAAGTACATTTAGTTGTTCAACAAAAATTATTTATTTACGTCTGAATATGATTGTTGTTAAACGCAAAGCTGCACAATAGACAATCCGTGTTGTGTTCACCACAGAGATCGAGGCCCTCAAGCTTATCATTGAGCCAACAGGGGGGGGGGCACAAATACAGTTTATTTGTAGAAAATTTAATTATCAAAAATGAAATGTAACATAAAATACTTTATGGAGAAATACTACAAATCAAACAAACACTGACAATCACAGTCATCTACCATTTACGAAGTGTGAAAGGTCGATATAAATTTTTCATTTTATACTACTCTTGTTAGGGAATAATCTATATTAAAATGAATTAATTTACGTGAGGCTAATGAAATGTTATGAATTTTATCCAACAGCGTGATATAGAATGGCGTAACTATAAAACTTCCATGATTTCACATGAATGTATGCCACGAACACGATAAAACTTTACTTACAAACCATTGGTTGTTTACATTGATTATTCTAACCAGTAAACTATGTGCTCATATTTTTACGCAATGGGTCACCTGTGTTTTGTCCACCACAAGTATCGAAACTCGATTTTTAGCTTACCACTGAGCTACTAGATGGGTGGCTGTGGGCTATGTCTTCATGAGCCTTCGATGTTATTAACGTAGCCATATTAGTAAATATTTATTACGTTAAATCATAATTCTTAGACCTTTAACGACATAGTTATTCTGAGTTCGACACTTATTTATAAACTTATTTTTAAGGGAATATGATAACACTTTGTCGCTCAATGCACGAACCAATTATAAGCAACTCCAAAGAGAGTTAAACTTACAGATTTAAATCATCACAAGAAAAATGGTTACAGAATCTTAACGCTCCATCTGGATCAACCATTGATAAATACATTAGTAGAAAACACAGTGTACAATTTACTTTTGTGTACCAGTAAATAATTAACGAAATATATATATTTGTTTTTTTTATTCAGCATCCTGAAAGATTCAAGATGTCAAGGGTCAGTCTTATATCATTTCTGGTTGTTTTTTTATTGGTTCATGCTTATTTTCCTGCCAATTGTTGGCCAAATGGAGCTCCTGTAAACGTGTGTGATGACATGACTCCCAGGCATGGTCAAAACAGACCAAAGCCATCACGTTATTCACCTTACCAAATTACCCAATCAGCGAACAGTTATGAGCCTGGTGACGTGTTACAAGGTGGGTGATAAAAAAATAACTTGATTTAAACAACAACAGTTAGTAATACCGATTTTTAAGAATTAAAATTTCTACATCTTTCTCTTTGATTTCCAAGTACGACCCCAAAGGCAGAATGCCCAAATTAAATTCCCAAACATTTCACAAATGTTTAGGTGGAATTTAAAAAAAAATATTTTAAAATTTGTGCCCTAGAACTCTTAAATTAACCTTTATAAATATATGATTATTTATTATATTAAGTGCTTGAAATGTGCGTTAAAATTTTACTATATTGGATTTGGTGCATCATCAAACAACAACATATTAACACAAGCACAATTTTAAAATCATACATTTATCAAAATATAGTCTAAAACGCTAGTAAATAAAATATCTTAGTATTGAGATTGGGGATTTACCTTAATTTGTTAGGCACGTTGGCCAGACCTCGTGGAATATTATTGGAATTACGGCCAAAAATATTGTTAACAGCAAGAGTATTCAACTTATAATTCAATGCATTCTACTAATTATAGATTTCAGTTTTATTTGTATTGATTTACGAAGCCAAGTACTTTTAATCAGGTTGTTATATAGAATTGGCGTCATTAGTATATAAATAACCCTTTAGTTGTCACCCACATTGTAAACTTATTTCTAATTATATGTTCTTATTAACTAATACACACAGTAACATATTTGTATTTAATTTTGTTTATTCTAGTTACAATTAGGGGAACCAGAGAAACACCATTTGAGGGGCTGATGGTTAAGGCTTATGATCCAGAAACCGGAAGACCGATTGGTTCGTTCAAAGGTGGTCTTGGTTTGAAAACCTTAGAAGATCAAGGTTGTCTTGCCATCACGCACAAAGATTCTTTACCGAAAAAAGCCGCCGTTATTCACTGGGTGGCGCCAAATTTTAGTGGCCAGGTGGCGTTCAAGTGAGTAATACATGAGTAATTTAATAGATGGTATTCTAACGATGATAATAAAATATGCAAAATAGATAAAGACGATTTAAATCAAATTTGAATACGGATGATGCCTGGCAGATAGAGTTTTGGCCTTGGCCTAGATAACCAATAGCATGTATACATTTAGCTCCATGTACACCCTCTTCACACATGTATGTACATACATATTCATACCAAAGTTATCAGAGCTGTACTTAAAGAGGTGTCACAAAAGTCCAATTCTGTAAAGGCTAAGATATCTTGAGTACTTTGTCTGGTACAAATGAGTAGTATTAAAATACATAGAAAACAACAACAACAGAACTACTTGTTACATTTATGAATAGTGTTAAAATACATAGAAAACAACAACAACAGAACTACTTGTTACATTTATGAATAGTGTTAAAATACATAGAAAACAACAACAACAGAACTACTTGTTACATTTATGAATAGTGTTAAAATACATAGAAAACAACAACAACAACAACAGAACTACTTGTTACATTTCAGTTTCAAGATTTACAATTCCAATAAGTGATGGGCATACTACAGACTTAGAAATTTGTGATTTTCTAGACGTACGGTAGTTGTACTTAAACATATATGTGTCGTACTTTATCGACAAATGGTGGACACTCACTCTAGAAATAACAGAAAGTACGTGTTAAAGTTGGATGATGTTTCCCCCCTCCTCAATATGTAGCATTCAGGAAAAATAACTAAAAAAAAATGTTACTTAGTGTTCTAGATTATTTCCACCGCTTCCATTTCATTCTCTAGCATCATTCTAACCTATTAATGTATGAATTTTTTCTATGAATGTAGTCGTTTATAAATTTCGAGCTACGTTTTTCTGAAAAATACGCGCAGGAGGTAAGTTTATCTTTGCCTTTTGTGTTTATCAAAGATACGCCCAGATGATGATCCTTGTTGAAAGCGTTAGTGAAGCGAGCATTAACGCATTTTTTTCAACAGTCAACGTTTATAAAGTAAGGTTTTTACTGGCCGCTTCCGAGGAAGTATTTATTACCTAACAAAGATTAGCATCACTTTAACAACAACAAACTGGCTACTCTAGTTATGGAAGCTCTTATCTTTACTCAGAGCTATCCCTTTGTGCATCGTTACAAACATTTTGTTTCTTGTTCAGTCTACTCTCGTGTCACTGTATATAACGTTTGAAATATTTTGTTTCTTGTTTAATTTTTCCTGGTGTCATTGTATACACCGTTGTAAAGATTTTGTTTCTTGTTCAGTTTTTTTGGTGTCATTGTATACACCGTTGGAAAGATTTTGTTTCTTGTTCAGTTTTTTTTTGTGTCATTGTATACATCGTTAGGAAA